CCCAAAAAAAAAAAAAAAAAAAAAAAATACATGCACAGCGTGCAGAAAGCTGTGATCATAATTAAGTCTTGCACACAAAAATGAAGCTGGAAAGAAGTAGTAAAGCAAAGTAAACTTCACCCTCCAACACAACAACTTTTGAATGGTCTGCCCTAGAAAAGATCAGCTCTTTCCCTAAATACGCAACCCATTGCTCACTGGTATTAATTCAGCTAACAGTACACGCTAATAAATAAACTACTCATTTATAATAATATCATTAAATTCAATTTCTTGTCTTCAGAGGCAAAATGGAAATGATAAATAATTACTATTTCACCTCCAAAATTGCCCTTGATTAATCCTATAATTAAATAAAGTTCCAAGGAGACCAGCGCTGGGAAGCACTGCAGAATCAGTCATCCAGAAACGACCTTAGCACACAAGTAATAAAAAAGCAAAGTGAAATACTGAGGCTAATTATATTTACAGTAAATAAACGTGGGGAATAAAAGTGACATTGAACAGGTTCATCCATGGTGTAAAAACTGGCGACATTCAAGGGTGTCGTAAAACAAAAAAAAAAACAAAGAAGTCTACACAATAAGAGCCTAGGAAAATAAAAGATATAAAAAGAGAGAAAGACTTCACAGATTTTAGTTGCAACTATCGAGGTACATCTATCGTAGTAATATTAACGCAAGACTTAGAGCCAATTTTTAGTCTGCAGGTTCTCTGTACCCTTCGCTGTGTATCTTTTTCCCCATGACCTCCAAGAACGCTTTGGCTTCAACCTCTGTGTCCAGAACGCTCTTTTTCTCTAGCTGTTTGAAGGCAAAAAAAAAAACAGTTTCACTCGATGAGAACATGTTTCAAGTGCTGCAAAGTCCAAGTGAAGTATCAAGAAAAATATTTGCAAGAGTTAGAGTCGTTATTGTTATGGTTAGTAGTTATGTACTTACTTTGCTAAGGTATATAGTCGTTAGTATCGTAAGTTAAGGCCCTGTTTATATGGGTCACACTCGCAGCCGAGTCAACTTTAAGGAGCTTTTATAATATCACAAAAAAAGTTGACCGAGCCAACAGCGCTGGCACGTGCTCTGGTTGTCTCGCCTTGACCGAGTTGACCCGGCTGGGCGAGCCAAAATAGGGACCTTAAGATGCAAGGACGGCGAAAGCAGGTAAAACGTCGCTTAAAATATGAATTCACGGTTTTTCAATCTTCATTGCGACTATTTCATCTCGCTTACTTTGTCGAAAGTACGCGAACTCTCCTGGGATTGAATTCCTAAGAGCCTTATACAAGTTAAGAAAGAGAAAGAAAATTTCGTCGTTACTTGTTTATGTCCCCTATAAAACATAAAATTAGGCATTTTTACGTCGTAGTCGTGCAAAAACGGCAAAGAAATGTACAAAAAAGTGTGACGCACGTGCAAAGTTGTTGTTTTGCTTATTAAATTAACCTATTTCTTTTTAGTTTTATGAAGTTCTCGTTGCCGTCGCCGTCGTCTGATCTTAAGGTCCCTAGGTATGGAGAAGAGTTGACCCGACTAGGAGGATGACCCTAACATGGAAACGCCAAGCCAACTTTTTGTTTCTCACGTAAGCGGTTCGCTAAGTTTTGTATGAGAAGTTGGATTTTGTATGAGAAGTTGGATCACCCGGGGCAGCTCGGGTAGGCGGGTGATCCCTCTAACCGAGACAACTTTTTCCGTATAGACGGAGCCAAGAGAGAATAAAAGAGAGAATGATCTCATTCTCTCTTGACGGAGCCTATTTCACCACCAGATATGAACACACGCGACCACACCTTTGAAACATTCTCATAATTAATCGAGTCAGAATCGCAAGAAAAAAAGCACAGGCTTACCAAGTTCTCCGGAGGCACACCCACACCCCAGGCCTCAAGTCTGTCAATCTTAAACTCTTCTTCTGCTGAAAGCGGCGGGCTGCCATATGTTGTGCAGGAAGGCTGTCCGCGACTGTGCCCTGAACCGAAGTTTTCGTCCAACCATAAGCCAAAATAATTTAACTGACCTCCCATACCCTGTGATAAAAAATATAGGCGGAGAAGGTTATAATCTCATGGCTGTTACTTTTGACACTTTTTAAAGTTAGTCTTCAAGGGAAGACCAATTTCATCAGGCTTTTCGTGACCCGGATTTTATCTAATACAAAAGGGCGGGAATTGGGAGGGGAAAAAGAAAAGCGAGAAATGGGGTTCTAATCATGATCGGGATACAGAAACGGTGATTGCTTTCTTTTCTAGTGTGATCCTAAAATAGTGCCAAATGTGCCTAATAACACTTGTATTTTTGATATAACAAAGGGAGCAAAAACACACTTCCCACCCATACCCTAACAAATGTACCCAACAAGGGTGGGGAGGGGGGGAAGGAGGGCACTGTTAATAGAATTGTACCAAATTCATTACTACTTACCAAACCATTTGGCATAGTCTGCATGCCCATGTTAAGATACATGTAGTTTTCATTGTAGCCAGTTGGCTGATAAACACCCATCGTTGGCTTCACACTGAACAAGAAACAATGGCTGTCACCTAAAGGTGGATTAAAACAGGCAGTTTTTAAGAAATGAACTTCAGAGAACTTGAACATGCAAATGCTTTCAGAAGAAATGACCAAGCAAATTCTCTAGAGCAGGAAATTAAAAAAAGGAAGGTCAGTGATTTCTTGCTGTGTAGCAAACTGCATGGATATAAACCTGTTGATCCCATGTTAAAGTAGTGTCAAAGAAGTTTCACTAAATATCACAATTTAAAAGGATTTTATCTGTTACTCATTGGTTAGAAACCCATCACGTCTTGATTAGTAATTCTAGGAAAGAAAAGGTTACAATAAAATATTATAATAAAATTATATTAATCTTAATTAACTTTATCATGGTTGTCATTCAAAACTTCCTGACCAAAATAATACAAAATTTAAGTGCCTCCAGCAACATTCCTTTGCAACAAGCATGTTACAATAGCTTACATGTAATTTGCATACCTACAAAATGAGACTTGATGGTCCAACTCTCTGAAGCAAACCCTCCAAAGATACCTCCATTTGTATCTCTGACAACTATGAGCACAGGACCTTGATTACTGATTTGGTGAATAAATGAGCTGAAGCTTTCACCATGAATTTGAGTTGAAAACAAGAGTCGCCATTGATGCTGCAATGCTGCTGGCAGGTGATGGTTTATCATTATAATGGATGGAACCTCCAAGAGTGGATCAATTTTATCAAAGTCAGCTTCAAATTTACACGGCATCATAATGTGTGACCTAAATCAAATGATAATCAAACAGAAGCTACTGTTTAAATACATTTGACCTTTAGAGTCACATTACAGCAAACACCAAACGTGAAATTGTACCATGTGACCAAGTTTTCCTTTGACTTGTGCCTTACTGTTTATAACTACTATTTACCCCAAATTAGTAGACTCCAGTTAGTTTTGTCTAGAGCAATTGGTTTGGACTGTTTTTAGGCCCACATTTTCTTTTCTGAGAAATTCTCAGCTTGAAGCTGATGTTTGCCGTTTGCTGTAAATGTCGCTCAATATCTCTCGATGTCTAGAAGTCCTAGTCCAAGCAGTATGCAGTATTTGTCACATAGGGATAGTTTATTGGCCTTAGCTATAACGAGTCTCCAGTAGCTTAGTGGTATAGAATCTGGACTAGTAACCAGAAGGTCATAGGTTCGACTCCCAGTTTGGGAGGCCTTGGAGTTTTTCTTCCAAGCCACCTGTCTCACTAGTGACTGAAAAATCATCTTTGTCATTAAATGACAAGCTTAAAATTCATCATGATGACATTATCAACAAGAAAAAAGTTCTGTCTTATAGAGAGGGGAGGTGTGACATCACGTTACTATGGTAGGAACATTTCTGGATCACAACAACATGGAGTTTTTGCAACGGCAACGGTGAACAGCAAAAAAAAGAATAGGTTGATTTATCCCACATAAAATTTCATCAACATTTGACAAATTAAATGAAATTAAATAAGATTGATGAAGTCTGAAACAGTGTGAATCCACTTTTTAAGAGACCTTTTGGTTTGTTGTCATCTAGAAATTTTGCTACCATGGCAACGTGATGTAACAACTTCTCCTCTCTATTAATTGGTTGTAGTAAACAATGACTGAATTAATTTTAGTTATACCAGTTTGTGATTAATTCATTTTTATTAATTAAACTCATCATCAATAGATGAGCTTGGGTGCTGGTGCCTACAAAGTTGGTAGAGCTGGGCAATGCTCTAGCATGAGGAAGGAGATATTCATGGCAACCCTGCAAGCAGCCCCACAGGCACCATCACACTGAACTGTTCAGTGGAATACTTACCGACCAGTACTTAGTAATACCTGGCCCTGAACTAAAGAGGGAAGGGAGGGTTGGGAAAAACACAGAACAAAAATGGCAAGCAAGTAACAAGGCTAGCAAATACACTTTGCAAAGAACTGCAAGCAAGGAACTGTGTATACAAGTCACAAAGTGCCCCTGCTGCCCCTGCTGTAGGCATCGGGCCACCCCCATCATAGCTGGGAAAACTGCTGACCAGCATTTGCTTCAAGGTTAACTTTGCCAAAACTACCTTGGCCACATTTAAAAAGTATATAAAGTTTGGTTTACTTAACAACCAACATCAGCATAACATATAGTAAACAGTAGATGAGCAAATTTGACTGACCTGTCATATTGAACATGAGCAACACTTTCCTCACATCCTTCTGCCAGTCCATGAGGCTGCTCTTCCACAAGACTCTCCACATCCAAAAAACAAGCCCTCATCACAGCCAGAAACAAATTCTCTATAATGGGAAACTTATTAAACCAGGGAAGAAATTCCTCAAGTGCAACACAGCTGGGATCAGCTTTCTTGCCAAGAAGATCCTTGACTGCATTCTTTGCAAACCTATGATTTGCCTCGGGGTTTGTCATCAGTTTCCATTTTGAACCAAGTATTGTCTTTTTTAATGCAGTTACATAGCACTCCAAAAGAATTTTACAAAGATCTTCTACCTCTACACTAGTTACAACTTGATCAACATCAGCAGATAAGTAGTAAAAAATGTGTGCCTTTTCTTCCCTGCTTTGTTTGAAAACATGTGACATGGAAACAAAAAAAGCCACTTTTGCTACTTGACCACTCGGCAAGGGATTTTTCAAAGCTCTACGAGCTTGTTGAATTTTGTCCATTTCCTTGAAGAAACGGATAGTAATCGGCTCTGGCAGAAGCCATGCTACATGTTCCTGCAAAAATAATAATAAAAAAATCATTTTGTGTTATGATGGTTTTATTGGGTGGTGGGGAAGTGCATTGGTGAAAACAGAGGTGAGTGTGACAAATGTAATTTTCACTGACAATTACTAACTTATTTCAATCTGGCAGTCTGGTTTTTTGATGACAATAAGAGGCAGATTATCTTATGTTTGAAAATGTATATTTTCTGTAAATGATCACAAGTCATAAGCATGCTCTAACTCCTGACACTCACTTGCGTGCCCACAGTAGGCAAATAATTAAGATTTTCTTAGTATACAAATAACACACAGTGTTACAAGGATGCCATGTATGGGTTTTGGCCCAAAGGCAATTTCTATTTATGGGACACATTTGTACCTTAATGATTATGCAACAAAAAATCCTTAAAATGTCACTGATACAAATATAAAATTCTCCATTATTGATACCACTGGGTTATTTTAGGCTGTCAGTATCTGCAAAGCCATCCTGCACCAGGGATCCAAGAGCCAAGTACTTTCATAATTATTCACATCTGAGCATTAATTAGGGTTTTCATAAGGCTGTATTGTTTGCACATATCATTTGTTTCCTTTAGCTCAGCTATTCATATATGCTGTTGAATTTCCCCCGGCACTGAGTGAGACATAAGTCAAGCCAACTACAGATCTAATAAGCGCATCCCTGGGCCGGGGAAAAAGGTTAAATCAATTCGCGGTAGTGTTAAACAGGAAACGACAAAAGATAACCATTCAAAGGTACAAAGAAAACTGTCAGACAAGAGAGAGAAGCAGCTGGTTTTTATCGAAGGTGAACACAATCCCATGGGTTTTGAATTGACACCTGCATGCGCGCTACTGGAAACTTTGAACAGTGTCAAAATTGCAGTTTCATGTTTCCTTTCGTCGTTCAGAAGATACTGGACACAAAATGCTGTCGATCGAACAACTGATCGTTCTCTCTTGTTCATCATAAAATCAAACTCACCTTAAAAGGTTCAAACTCTATTTTCATAATACCATGCTCATTCTCCGTAGCAAGCCGTTCAAAAAGCGACAGAAGCTGTTGACGCTCTTTCTCAGAGAAGGAGCGATAACTGTCTTCATATTCGATGCCTCGACTTGCTAGAATTCCCATAATTTTAGGGTATAAACTGTGAATGAACGGTACCAAACTCGAACACAGCTGAACGACCAGCTGAACTGTTATGCTAGGCGGAGATGCTAAGAGATTGGTAACTAGTCGACAAGAATCGTCACACGGCTCGTCACACCAATTCGTCACACCACACACTAGAATGGATGGCTCACGCAAGTAAACAGGACTTTTTTGTTTTGTTTTTTTTCTGTTAAGAGATCTTTTTTCTTTCTTTTATTTTCATACGGATGGCAATATTTTTTTCTTATTTTACAGTGCCTGATGTTTGTATTACCGTATATTAATAAACATGATGACGGAGGATGACGTCGTATACTGACAGCGGGGAAACCAGTATTGGCCTCGTTCGTTAAAAGCCGGATAGTCGGCCGGTACAGATACCGTTTATCCTGCACACATCTCTTTGCACCATGCCCACAATCTGAACGCTGGGCACAGGCTAAAAGCCGGCTGTTTTCTTAGGCTAAAGCCTGGTTCTCATATGCCACCGATGCACCTGCGACATGGCCGCCGGTACTGCCTGGATACTGTTCCGAGAACAGAAGTGGCCGGCAACATTGCTCATCCCTCATTGCTCATCCGAGTCAAGTTCAACTTCGCAGGCATGCTGGCGGTAAAGCTCTGCGATGGCTCTAGTTGCCGGCGGCCCATGTTCTCATTCGTCCGAGAAGTGTCCCAAGCGGTACCGGCGGCTACGTCGCAGATACATCGGCGGCATATGAGAACCAGGCTTAATGATTGCCTGCATGTAGACGTCTCCTATTTCCTTTATTGCGTTCCTTTTCCGCGTGCAACAAAGGAAATAAGAGACGTCCGCATGCATTCAGGTAAGCTAATGATTACGTCGAGTGCAGTTCGCGCCAGAAGCGTATGCGTTCAGACTACACAAGACCAGTCGAACTGAGGCCAATCTTAGTAATGCTAGCTGTAACCTTGGTTAGTGGTTGCCAGGATTCAAAAACGGCTCACGACAAATGATAGAAGACATGATGATCCCATTGATTGCTTATATTGTTTGTAAGCATACTTGACTTTCTATTTCCCTTTTTCGCTTCCATCTTTCCCCTTTTCCCCAGAAACGCCTGATACTCAGGCTACCGAGTGATCAGCAATCCAAACGTTCAGGTGCCGCCAATTGGCACATGACCGTATTGACAACAAATCTCGTTGTAGTTTTAAATTTTCTAGAAATTCTTACAGTCATTCAGCGGATTGAACTTTTTCCGTTTCGTCCCCATTCACCAACAAAACACAGCCAGGAAAGACTCAGTGGCTTTTGCAGAGGATGGAAATTAATAATAATCTTTAACTTGGGTTGATTTTCTCAGCTCTCCCACTCATCCTCGCAGCTAGTGCTAATTCAGCGCAAAAAATAAATGAAGGAACTCGCAACAATCTTTGTTTTTATGGTTTACATTTTAATTGTTTCATTTAAATCCTAATTGCAGGAACCGCGTAAAATCAAAATTTAGAAATCATACATATTTTTTGGTATAATATAGTCTATAGTCCAGTATATAGTCCGGAGCAATGGGTTTCAGGTTGATATAAAAAAAGAAAATAAACAGTAAAAATCCTGAGCAGCTAATGTCGGAACAAGAAGGGGCGCTGGTCAAGAGACCGTCTTCTTGAAAATCGGGCGGATTTAGATTTTCAAACTCTAAATTAGGTCAAAATCCTCATTCCTCACATTTTACTAGCTTGAAGGAAAGATTTAAGGCTAAGGCTACACGATCAAGTTGTTTATTTAGACTTTTAGTTTTGTATTCTAAAGCTCAGCGGTCGTCTCTCAAACGAACAAAAACATGTTGATAGCTGCAGCTGACATCCAAGTAATCGCGGAGAGTGTTAAGGTAACACTTCCTGCAGTGGGTGTTCCTCCTTTTTGTTCAACTGGTTCCGTGATTTCCACCAGCCAATCGTAGACGTCCTGCTTTCCTTGGTCTTTCAACATCTTGCCAACTTTCTCGCGGCAGTCTTTATGGTATTTGTTCAACCAGTCAATCTAAAAAAAAAACCGCAAGTGGCGTAAAGTGTGAACGAGCGATAGCGAGGTCAATACATCAAGGCCGAGGTTTGAATAGCTAATTTCATTATGGACCTGATCCAGAGATGAATTAAAACCAATAACTGGTCAGCGGATAACTTTTTAAAAAACACGTTACCTCAATGAGTTGTACACTTGAGCCCGCGATAAAGTCAGGTGACACTGGTCAGCGGATACCCTTTTTGACAGCTGTCAATTGACCATATCCACTTTCAAGTTAAACACAGATTGTATTTGCCTCGGGCACCTAGCTAGTAGTGCCCGTTCATTAGAAGAAAACAGCCAATCAGAGCGCGCTTTCTATTGTAGCTATACAAGAACAATAATGTATCTGCTACCACATGTTTTATTGATACCTCCGTGGAAGTCATGATGTCCAGGTTGATTAGATTCTTCCAGTATGGCACCTGCCGTAAAAGTCAACCAAATAACGGTGAGCCAGCCATGCTGGTACCAAGAGGCTTAATTATCAAATGTAGTAGCTATACTGCATTATCCTAAATCAATCAATCAATCAACCGGTCATCCCTTATATGCCTCAGACTCTTAAACACGATCATGATATGATATTCTTATGGACCATCGAGTGGAGCAAGAGCTCTCAATAAAACCCTATGAGCTTTTCGGCGAGAAACCCGTCACAAAATCTGACAGATTTGAAAAAAAGAGAGAAACAAAATAATGTCCTCTTAAACAATGTATTTTCGTTCTGTTCGGTGGTAGATAAATTTCCCCGAGTTACTCTCAGTTTTCTTCACGCGACACAAGTCTTGACGTAGCGCAAGCGAAAGAACTAATACGTTCGCCACTAGATTTGACACTTCAGACTTGGTTATTGGAGCTAGTAATGTAGTCATGCACGTGGCAGAAGTGCAATCAAGCAACGAAGTGAAGTAAGGGAGCCTTGAAAGGAAAGGAAATAACTCAAGTTACTTTTCGTTGTCCATCGGCTTTTTCCTTGCTCTACTTTTGCTTCTTTCCCTTTCTGTCCATTTGAATGACCAACTGCGCTTTTACTGATCATAAAATTAATTGATTGAAGAAGTTATACTTAATTTTCAATACCCTGCCACCACACTTCTATTAATGAGTCTGAAAAACGTATAAAAGGGTTGAGGGTGTTCAGGTTTAAGTGAGAGCTTAATATCTAGAAAAGGAAAGATAACTTCTTAACTGATCTCGTCAACTCAACTAATCCCGATCCATCAAACACATAACCACTTCCCCGAAATAACACGCATGCCGGGATCCGGGTATAAGATTAACAGCCTATTACTTTGCATATTACTCCCAACCAACCAATTCTTATTTTCAAAAATTTTGTCTACTTACAAAGGACACTGATTCAAATGTCACGTATTCCACATCATTAAATGTGTTCTGAGAAAAGAATGGATAATAAAACTCAGTTCTGATTCTGGTTATGATTCAGTATCATAGCATGCATAACACTTGGCTTCTACTTTGCTCATTATCTTTGCGAAGATAGACGCATGGCTAATTTCATTCAGGAACCTGTGCCATTAGGGTACAGAACATAATCACAGGGCCGTAGCTAGGTGATTTGTAACGGTGAGGCATTATGGCGAGTGCCGAAGGCACGAGCCTTGTAGGGGGGTGTGGGGGTATCCACCCCCAGAAAATTTTCAAGTTTGGAGGCTTCGAAATGTTATTATTAGCACTTGTAATGAGATATGTCTCTGAAAAGTCGATCTCGAGCAAGTGTGAAAAGGCAGGTGTTTTCAGTGCTTACAAGTGCCCATTTCCTAGGTCCTGTTAATTTGAAACACAACGTATATCCAAGCACTAGTACACTAAACATTTCACAATACTGCACGATGTTTGGCTAACTAACCTTTTGCTTACTATTTGCACACACCGTGGACCAACCAATTTCTTGCCCATGAAAATGGCAAACAATTGCAAGTCACTACGATCAAAATAACTGAGTCTAAAGAAACAAATCCACATCCAGACTTGATTTGTCTAGCTCAACAGGACCAGCCCCCCCACCTTCCCCCGCTAGCTACGGCTCTGAATCATAATATCATAGCAAGGTACTCAGCTATTGAGCTTGGATGGTATTATAATGCACTACATTTATTTCCCTTCCACCGCATTTCATTTATATTGTACTCGTTAATCAGCACTGTATCCTCTCTTCATTATTACAGGTATAAGTTTAAGAAAAATAGGAAAGAGCTGTTTGAGAACTTTTTTTTTCGTGCCGGTGTCAAAAACAGTAAATATACTTAGAGGATAGCACACCGATAATTTCACGCTAGCCGACAATAAATTCTCACCTCAGTTTTAGCAGGCACAGCAAGAATTATAGTTTCCAATCTCACTCCGAAACTACCATCCTTATAATACCCGGGCTCTGTGTAAAAGCAAGTAGCAAAAATAATCAGACTTCACGTTGCTGTTGTTGTTGTTGTTTTTTAATGTTGTTTTCCGGGTGAGCAGGGTTTTTATTAAGGATTCTAGTAGCATCCAGGGGCAAGGTGTAACTTTACAGGAGAATATTATGAAAGAAGCTCCTCATCTGAATAAAAAAATAGTCACTGGCTACCAAACGTTAGCCGGAGAATTTTTCGTAGTAAACGGAGAATTCTCCGATTTCCGATGTCTAATGGACACTCTGCAGGCACAAGGTGGATGGAATAAAAACAGGATAAATAATTTGATTCTTTTACGATAAAAGTAGACCACTAATATATATTTTTTATTTGTACCAATTACAAACTAGTGGTACAAGTTAATTAGGTGGTAAAATACAATTTAAAGGGAGGTTTCTTTATGAAAGTCTCATGAACTATACATTTTACTGTTTTGGAACGCAAAGATGAAGAATACCGAAGTTTCAGACAAGTTTTGGTCCATAATCCAGGCGTTTCTCCCTTGATTAGGAAGAGGCAAGATGCAGTTAGTTTGGGCTTGAACCATCATAAGCTTACCATCCGACTGGAACATTCCAGGAACGATTGGCCTTT